TAAAATATCATAAATTATATATATATATATATATATAATTATTTTAAATTATTTTATATTTCGAACAATAAAGATTCAAACACGAACAAAAAAAATTTGACGAGCCAATTTGTTCATGTTCGTCTCGTGATTGGTTCGTTTAACTAACCGAACAAAAAAAATTTGTTCATGTTCGCCTCGTTTACTATCGAACGAATCAAACACGATCTCATTGACGAGCCAAACACGAACTGTTCGCAAACAACACGCTTTTTTGACAGCCCTAATGGTATGTATGTGTCGAATCCAAATATATCCAAAAATTCATGCCCAAGCAACAGAGCATAGAAAAGAGGAGAGTGGGAGATAAAGAGAAAGTGAACAATAGAATGAGAACATTCAACTCTTTATTCATAAAATGATCCCCTATTTATAGTTAGAAAATATGCCTAGGATACACAACTACGTCTGAAACCCTTTTCTCTAAAAGAGACTTAAGGGTATTAAGGTCTTTTATACTATATAAATCTATAAATATATTTAAAAAGAGATTAATCGGTCGATCATGATGGCTCTAGTTCGTCAGCACACACCATTCATTCGGCAACGGCAAGCCGAACAACGTGAGAATCATACGAGTATCTCTCGAACAAGCTCATCCGTAGCTTACCTTAGTCTTCGAACCCCTCCTTTGTTCGTCTGTCGGAGAGTTGTTCCTTCATTCGGCCTATTATGTCAGTCGGCGTGCATACCAAAGGGAGCAACTTGTCATGGCTTTGAGACATCCCCACTTTCGGCTCAACATTGATTTTTGCTCCAATAAAGTAAACTAGTGTTTGACTAGATCTCTATGGTGGGTCCCGTTTATCTTACTTTGTATTCACATTTTTCCCCTAAGATGGAGCTGAGCAAATACACGTGGAGTGTATAACATGGCACCATGTTGGACATGTCCATAAGACCATAATTACATAAAATATTTGATAAATTTCCATTTCTAAGTTAACATTTTATAATCATGGAGTCTTTCATTCATGCCACTTCAAACTTTTATGACCCCCCAAATTTTAAAATTTACATTTTGGCCCCCATAAACATTTCATTCCTACCCCCATCCATCTTCTCCATTCTTTTGAATGCTTAGCCTAGTTGTGTGAGTAATCACCCTGTGAGAATCTGTTCTTCGGTTGAGTCGAAGAGGGCTTTTATTTCAGTATGTTGTTATAGTTATGATTTTTTATCATAATTATGGGTGTTTTGATCTTTTAGCTCTATTTATTTATGTGCTCTAATTCTTCTCTGTAAAAAGGGACTTTAAGTTTATGAGAGATGTATGGCTAGAAGTGGAGAAGTTGTGACATCGACTTTTTTTTTTTCCCTCCTCATTCGGTACTAGTGGAATCTCCTCATCGTGGATGTAAGTAAATCAACTCAACGTTGAATGTTGTGAATTGTTTGTGTTTGATTGTTGTTGTGTGAATTTTTTTGTTTATGCATTGTTTTCGTGTAACAAGTGATATTAGATCTTCAGGTTTGGATTCAAATAGGTCGGCAATAGGATAAGAAGATCCGACAACAGGAGCTTCTGTGGCTAGCGGCAGCACATGGGGCTGGCAAATTTGGAGGTTCAGTGGCAGACCGGTGGCAGGACGACGGCTTGGACGTGAAGATTTGGCCTGCGACAGAAGAGATTGCAGTAGGAGCATCGACAGCATTGTAGCGTGTAGCGATCAAACAAGCAGGGAAGACAATGGGGGTTCCGACGGCAACGAGCGTGGTCCGGCGGGCACAGACATAAAGTGAATCTTGCAGTCCAGCGGTAGGATCGGTGCAATAGATTTTGTGTGGAATGAAATAATTATTTTGTTTACAAATTGAAACAAGAAATTTCAGGAAAAAAAGTTTTTCAAAATAAGAGAAAGAATTAGAAAGAGATTCTGACAGTGGCAACAATAAATGACACCTCGATGTCAGGTTCTTCAAAGTCCAATATGGCGGTGGGAAAATTGATTCATTTGGTGGTTACTCTTCTTGTCAAAATCGATGTGACGAAATTTGAATACAAAATGAACTTTGACATGTGGTGATGTGAGGTAATGAATGCGATGTGTTATTTAAATCTAAAGAAAGTCCTGAATAGTGATGAACATCAAGAAATGATGTCAGAAAAAGATTGGATGAAGATGAATCATAATGCTTATGGCTTGATCCGAAATTGTTTGACTCATGAGATCAAATATGGAGTGATGATGAAGATTTATGCAGAAAAACTAACGAGGATCCTGGAGAACAAATATCTCACAAAGAGTGTTAATAACCGTCTCCAAATGAAGTGCCGACTTTACAAATTTCGAAAGATGCCGGGGTTACTATTGACGAACACTTAAATAACTTCATAAAGTTGTTAACAAATCTGTTAAATTTGGATGAGCAGGTTGGAGCTAAAGATAAGACTCTCCTTCTGTTGAATTCGCTTTCGGATGAATACGAAAACTTCACGAAGACACTCATTCATGGAAAAAAGGTCTCGAACTATGTGAAATGACTACGACGTTGTTAAATCATGAATTTCATAGAAGGTACAAGAAGTTCGCAAAGAAGGATGAGACACTTATGCTCCAGCGTGGCAAATCCAAGAACAAGAAAAAAAAGATGAATTGGGCAAAGAAAGGTGGCAACAACAACACTTCTCAAAGCAGAACAAGTCTTAAAAAACCTTATTATTCACACATCATTTGAATTGTTATAAAATAAAAAAATATATTTATATAGTTATATAAAAAAATAAAATTATTTCTCCCAAAATAAAAATAAAAAAAACTAAAATAAAATTGTTATAAAATAAAAAAAAATAATTATATAGTTATTAAAATATAATACCTTATTATTCATGCATCATTTGGATCTGTTTATGTTACCACCTACCAAGGGGTAGGTTTGAAGGCACTGCATCTCGATCCTCAAATCTCCAACTTTGTCCTCGACTCCTTAATGCCACGTGATTTTGTTCTAATGCTGTCGAGCTTCCGGACTTAATTTAATTTAATTTAATTTAATTTAATTTAATTTAATTTAATTTAATTTAATTTAATTTAATTTAATTTAATTTAATTTAATTTAATTTAATTTAATTTAATTTAATTTAATTTAATTTAATTTAATTTAATTTAATTTAATTTAATTTAATTTAATTTAATTTAATTTAATAGTAACATGTAAATATAAAAGATAAATTAAATAATTATTTATTTTAATTAAATAAATAATTAGAGATATTAATTTTAAAATTCAATGATATTTAGGTGTTTAAAAGTATTATATCACTCATTATTTATGTATTTACATATATCTAATATTTGAATTTTAAATTTTTAATATATTTTATTTTATTTTATTCTTTAGAAATTAAAGTACTAATAATAATTAATCGTATAAATATTATAAAAATAAATAAAATAGAAGTCAATGTCGGATGTGATTTTTAAACAAAAAAATATCGCAATATTTAATATAAAAAGTTTCTCTTTTCGTTGACTACTAAAAAATAAAATATTTAAATTCTCTCATAACTTTATTAATTAATGAAAACTTTGAATGAAAATTTTGAGGGAGGTTTAAATATTATTTTCAATAATTGTTGTGTTTTATTTTTTTTTGTTGACGTTAAATAAAATTTATCAAATTCAATAAATTCGAATGTATTTTTCGTGGAGGAGTTCGCAGGTGAAGACTGAATAGATTCGCCTTGCAATCAGATTTATTTAATCAGGAAAGAGAAGGAGCGAGAAAATAAAGTTGAATTGAGCGTTGAATTGAGCGTTTAATTTTTTTTTAGCGTTCGAGTGGATTTAAGTTAAATTCACGACTAAATCACATTTAAAAATCTAAAAAAGTAAAAATTTAGACTTTTAAAATAAAAAGTTAATATTTAATATTTAAATTTCGGCATTGGATTCGAGCCATTCAAATTGCTATAAAAGGACCACTTTTCTTCTGAACTTCAGTACCCTAACAGCATCGTCACTCCAACTAAATTATATTCGAGAAATTTTCTTCATATTTTGATTGTATTATGGTAGTATTATTTTATATTTGTCTGCACATAATATACACTCTACTAAAACAATAAAATGTTACGTCCGGAAATCACACGTCCGAACGGCCAACCACCAACCGCCATGTCCTCGTACATCCAGATGCACAATGCCAAATCAGCAAGTCCGAACAGCCAACCACGGACCACCACATCGTCATACACCTCTGACTATAAAACAGAGATAACTCAGTTCTCACCAGCACAACTTCGAATCAGGAAACATACACATCTGCAATACTCTAAAAAACCCTTTTGTTTTTCTTCAACAGAACGCAATGGGGCGGAGCACCGGAACCGCCGCCGCCGCTGCCGGCGGAGGAGCCATGGCTGGAGGTCCGCCGGGCAGGAGGAGGAATGCAACCCTCTGGTTCGACAGGTGAAGTCTTCCATTAGAGGAGTGATGGCGGAGCTGCTGGCTGCTGTAAATCCTTCAAAGAAGCTCATTTCTCTGGGCACCGGCGATCCGGCGGTTTATCCAAACTTTTTCGGCGGCGGTCGGGAGGTTTTCACGGACGCCGTAAAGGCTACGGTCTCCTCCGGTCTGTATGACTCCTATCCTCCGGCATTCGGCCTCCCCCCGGCTCGCCGGTGAGTAAAGTTTTCGATTTTATGTCTACTTTTTTAAAATTTACATTTTTAACCCTGAGATTTGTTGTGTGACGTGAAAATATTGATATTGTTAATTTTTAAAAGTGGAAATTTGTTTTTTCATGCAAAAATTTATAATTATAAATATGAAATTTTAGGTGGTTTGATTTGCAAATAGAGAGAAAATTGTGTTTTTTTAGAGAAATTTATTAATATTTTTTTTGTAAATATTAATATTTTGAATGATCGCATGTAATTATTTGGAAAAAAATAGAGTACACTTTGGAAACTCCCCTCGTGTTATTCAGGTGTTATTTTATGTTATTCGTATGTTCTGAGAATATTTATGGTGTTATAGTAACATAATAACACATTAATAACACTCGAATAACACACAATAACACCTAAATAACAAGGGAGGAATATTCTCTTGTGTTACCGGACAGATTTTATTTTATTTTTTGTCACCTTCACGTGGCGTGATTTAATTGGAGTCTACACTTAACTATACGTGTGGAGTCATAATATAATATTTTTTTCTACAGTTTAGAAATAATTATTATAAATTTTTCTGCCTGTAGCACGAGACTACGAACCAACTGCATAATCTGTAGCCACGTGTATTCACTATTTTGGTATCTTGTCCCGCGGGCTATAGTTTTATAACTGCTACGAAGGTAGATGCCGCGAAAGTCGGTTTTTTTAGTGAGTTTGTTTAATCATTGCCACAGCTGCAGGTGTGCTCCGACAAGTAGTTTATTAGCATTAATTTGCAAAAGAAATTAGATGAAGACATTAATAATATTATTAATACATTTTTTGGTTCATTTTAAATCCAACTAAATATGGTGTAGAATATTTATGACGGCAGATAATGAATTATTATTTTAGTATTGTATAAGAATTTGACACACAATCAAGTGAAAAATAACAATCAGTAATGACATTAAAAAATTTTACGTGAAAAATCTGTAAAGTGAAAAATCTATGGGATCTGACCCAGTTGTAAAAATTTATTGTAAGTTGATTATTCAAATACTCATTGTCCCACTGAACGGAAAGGGTTGTTAGGTTTTCTAAGTTATAACGTCGATTGGTGACTTCTGGTCAATGATGGACGACGGTGATTAGTGGTGATCAATGATGGTCAGCGGTGATCGACGATGGTCGGTGGTGGTTGACAACAATAGTAGTGTTTGACGACAGTCGGTGGATGTCTACGACGATCAACAGTGGTTGGCGACAATTGGTACGGTTGGCGGCGATCAATGTCAGTCGCCGATGGTCTCAGCGGCGGTTGACGGTGATTGATGGTGACATGGGTGGTGTTGGACTTCAGCTTCTTCTCTAAACTTTAAGTTTTCTTTCAAGCCTCCAACATTTTTTTTGAGAGATCTCTATATATAATATTCTAGGTGCAATTAATGCAGAAATATGAATCACTTTGATTAGACAGTCCGGAGAGCTTCCTTCGATCAGACAACATTTGATGGACATTTGTCAGAGTTGAGCAATCTTAGGCTCGTTGGAATCGTCTTGTCGAGACGCTCAATTCAACTAAATGTTTCCTAGATCCTACATTCTTCTAACCTTCTAAATTTATCCGAAAAACTTTTAAGGGTAGTTTAAATTTGATCAGAGCTTGATTTGACTCGGATTGAACCAATTTCGGTAACATTGGGTTTTTCTTGCTGAGCCGGAGTTCTTGATGAGCAACCCTAAACCCTAAACCCTAAATGATACGTCACTAATGTTTTTTTTACAAATCTACCCAGCTTATTATAATTTAGATTAATGTGTAATTTTGAAGTCGAACTTATAACGATGAAAATAAATATTTTTTTCATATGAATCAATGATAATAATACTTCATTATATTTGTAATATTAATAATTACATGTGTGCAAGTGTGGAAAAAAATAGGAATACATGCATAACGCCTAATTCCTATGTATTTACATATCTAACAGCTATAATTTATTTTTTTGGGAGGTTATATCCGCGTTATACCCATGTAATCTCTCTGTAACCTACTTGTAATTTCTAGAAAGTTTCGCTCTTCTGTTTTCATATATTTGTTGATTACAGATAGGTTACAAGAGATATAACGCGGATATAATCTCCAATAATCTCTGAATAACCTCTCTGATGTACACAACTCGAAGTAAACGGCTGATTGTATTCTTAAATGAAATCTTGATTATGAGAAAATATTGAGTGTTGTTGGGTTGACAGTGCTGTAGCCGAGTACTTGAGGAGCGTGGTGAAAGGCTCCGGCTATTTGCGCGGCCATCCCCTCCATCTACGCGACAGCGATGTCTTCCTCACGGTCGGCGCCACGCAGGCTCTGCAGACCACGCTGTCTGTGCTCGGCCCCGGCATTCCCGGCGGCAACATCCTCCTCCCTCGTCCTGGCTTTTCTCTCTATGACTCCGCCTGCGTGCTCGCCGGCGTCGACTGCCGCTACTATGACCTCCTCCCCTCCCGCCGATGGGAAGCCGACCCCTCCCAAATCCGAGAACTCGCCGACTCTCGAACCCTCGCAATCGTCGTTATCAACCCTAACAACCCCTCAGGCGCGGCTTTCTCCGGCCACCACCTCCTCCAGGTCAGACAGATCTCCCATCTTCTGCATCTCCGCAACACCCTAATGCTGATAATCGAGAAATTAACATCATCTGAGTGCAGATCGCTGAGATTGCTAGGGATTTGAACATTCCCATCATCGCCGATGAGGTCTACGGGGGAATCGTATTTGGCGGCGGAAGGTTCATTCCCATGGCATGCTTTGCTTCCTTCGCTCCTATAATCACCATCGGTTCTTTGTCCAAACGCTGGATGGTTCCTGGATGGCGATTCGGTTGGTTTGCGATCTACGATCCGAATGACACCCTTCATGAGGTGTTCTTCTAGCTTACAACCTACTAGTATGTGGATGAATGAGTTCTTACTGTTTCTTATTCATCCATCTTGTTCTTGCCGTCATTAGGTGAGAAACGCAGCGGAAATAATGATGAACATAAATCCCGGGCCATGTTCTGTAATTCAGGTTGTTTGACTTTTCATCTTGTTGGTTCATCCCTGCACTTCAATTTTTATGTGAAAAGTTATTGACATTATAGGATATATCCTAACCTCTTATGCTGCCATTGGGGCAGGCTGCAGTTCCAGCAATTCTGTCGGATGCAAATGATGAATTTCACGAGAGTGTGATAGCTTTATTGGAGACCTGTATGGATACGCTTTATAAAGGATTGCAGCAAATTGAAGTTCTGGAATGCTATTCCAGGCCTCAGGGATCCATGTTCATGATGGTAATTTTTTGTCCCAGAGATCCATCAATTCATTTTTTATGACCTTTTAGCTGATTTTTAGTATGCTTCCAACATCTAGGTTTCATAAATTTAACATTTAAAGCACAATTAAGAAAAGAAATTGGGAAGAAATTGAAGTTTTTAAAACTAAAATTTAAAAATTGTCTTTTTTTTTTGGGACCTTCTCTATTTATATGTATATATTTTTGTTGCAGGTTGAGGTGGACACGACCCGCCTTCTTGGCATTGAGAATGACATGGATTTTGCAAAGGAGTTGATGAAAGAGGAGTCTGTGTTGGTTTTGCCAGGTTTGAATTTTAACCAGATTAAGCAGTTTTATTTGCTTAGCTTTCTCATATGGATCAGCTCTTAATTTAAATTTGTAGTTTAGGATCGTGTATTGTTACACTTGGAGCAATTGAGAAATGTCAAGTCTATTATGGGATCATTTTTAATTTGTTATTTTATTTATAAATTAATTAAAAAAAATAAATTTGATTTGTTAAAATAAAATATAATTATTTTTAAATTATTCAAAATATCTAAAAATCATTTTTAGTATTGTTAGAAACAAATTTGTTTGTTTTGAAATAAAAAAAAACGTATTTAAAATACATTGGACAAACATATCCTTTAATATAAGAAACAATAGAAGTAAATATGTTATTTTAAATTCCCTATCATAAGCCGTCATTTCTTGCATTCAGTATACTATTTTATTCATGTTTGACCTGGTTTTTAAGTGTTGTTTGGTTCCACACATAAAAAAAAAAACAAAACAAAAAGGAAAAAAAAGTAATTGTAATAATTTCTACAGGAAAGTGTATTAGTGCAGTGTAGAAACAAATGCATAGGTTAATTTTTGCACAGTTGAAGCAGGTTTACTTGATTGGGTAGGACTGGACCCAATTTTTGAATAGTTGAAGCTGTGATGACTATTACAAATTTATTTTATGGTAGTCATCATATTTAGCCAGGTCGAGTTGCAAAATGTAGTTTCTCACCTCAATTTTTTGAAAAAAACAGGCAAAACACATTATTTCCAAATGCCTGAAAGTACGGTGTACATCACAACGCCACCGCATTGTTGCCCAAACACAGTCTATGCTTCATTCTGTTTTCTTAGTTGCATGGATGTCAATGGGAGCTTGCACATTCTTAATTTATCATATCATTAATATTCTAATTTCAATTATCTAATCACTTTCCTTGTTTTTACAATAATTAATCGTTTATTCCTTGAACAACTCATCCAATGTATTTCTTGTGTATAAGTTATTATCAATTATCTCGCTTGGACACACCAATCTTGTATAGAACTACTGTAGAGCTCAGCACCAGGCGAACTTAGCTCGCCTTATATCCTTCGCTCTCACTAGGCGTAAAATTTTCTCAATTAATTTGACAATTGAAGTGATTTTGTTAACACAATTATTAGCGGATTAGTAGTTAGCATGCAAGACTTGAACGCAAGTTAACTTCATGGAGGAAGAGGCTTTTTGTTCAAAATATTACAGCTCAGTTTGAAACAATTGAAAGTGATAGCTTGATACAAAACTTTTTTTTTTTTGCACTCTGATTGTTTGGGGTTAACATTCAGTACTTGAAAATGCATGCAATGGCAATAATCATTTGTCTTCTAGGTTCGGTTATTGGATTGAAGAATTGGATTAGACTATTCTTCGGACTTCCGACGGATTTATTGAGCGAGGCATGTGATCGGATGAACTCGTTTTGCAAGCGGAGGATGGTTAAAAATGCATGGTGAAGTTTGTTTCTTTATGGAGATGGCTAGAGCTAATTATCAATTCTATAAAGCCTATATAACTCACTCTATCTTTTTTTGTTGTATGTTGTGAGATCGGTGATCGGGCTTTTATTATTGATTTTTATCTTTTATGAGCTATGGCTTTTATTTGTGCATGTTAAATAAAGGGCGATGTAGATATCTCCCAGTTTATATGATATGGGATGTGTTTATATTTCTTATATTTATTATCTATTCTATTTGCAATATAATATTGATATTGTGATTTTTTACTAATAGAGCAATGAAAATGAAGTTGAGAGTGAGAAAATATTTGTTGTCTTGCGTTTTGTGCTATTTAATTTTTTTCAGGGTGATAGAAGTAGACACTGACATAAATAATGATTCTATTAACACCTTTCATAGGTTTTTCATGCTTAATTCTATTAAATAAAAAATTATTTCATGCAAAGGGGTCCACTGAAAAGCACAAAAATTTGAACCTGTGCAGCCTCTGCAAAAGAATGATGAAATAAGAAAAACAAAAGAATAAACAATCCATATATGAAGTCTTTAATTTTTGATGTTTTGCCTTATGCACAAAAAGAATGTTAAAGAGTAGGTCTGTTATTGACATATTTGACAGTTAATGCAATGCCATCTTTAATTATTCTCCAAATGCTTAACTTACTTCCATCATCTATGAGAGATGTTGGATGATCCGAGATGATCTTATTAAGGCCTCGTTTGACGGCAAAGTTCCTTTAAAAACTGCATTCCAAATTGCTGCACCCTAATCGCGATTCAAAACGGGGAGAATTACCGTTGCGACCCAAACGAAGCATTTCTGTTTTGCCTGCTTTCTGTAGAATAGAACAGAGCCTAAACGCCTGTTCAAACAAAGCATAATCCTAAGTTCAAGTGCAATTGAGGTATTTCTTTTCTTATTTCTCTTAATGACAATGATCTAATTTTGCGAGGCCGAATGGATTCATTCTCTACTTTTATGGCAAAAATAACATCTTTGATGATTATGTGAAGTTTCATTGGTGGAAGTTTATGTAGTCTAAATGTCACTCAATTAAGCATGCTTTATGTTGTTAGATGTCAATGCTTAAAGGATAAAAAATTATGGATAACCTCATCAAGTGAGGTTTAAATATTAGTATTTCTTGTAAGCTTTGTTGGAATTGTTCAAGAGGCAATACTATCACCCATATTGTGCATGTTTATCCTCTATGTGTCTGATTAACAATATGCATACAAATGGGAATTCCATTCTATTTAAAATAATGTTCTCAACATTTACCTATATGAGAAGAAAATCTTTGTCCCAACAATCTTACCCCTTTCTTCCAGATGGCTTTCATCCCTTATTTGTGCTTCCACAAATCCTTGGAATATATTTGTATGTTATTGTATGTTTCTAAGATCCATAACATTGTATGCCAACACCCTTTATTGTTCCACTACATATGTTGAGTCATGCAATATAATTTTGGTACTGAAGACTTAGCTTGTCAGATCTAAAACATGCTTTCATAGTGAAAAAGTTGGAAAACTCTTAAGGTCGAAAAATTTTATTCCCTTGATGAGTTGATTTCAAATATAAAAGTACTCAAATTGAAGAATACATTATTAGCAGCTTGGGATTATAATATATTATCTGTCTATCCGAAGATGTTATTTATTTTTCCTTAGTAACTTCTAATACTCCCAATGCTATATTAACAAGCTTTAATGTAAACCTCTCATGTGCGTGCTAATGGATGACTTTATTTTTTTTCTGATCCTTTGATGATTGTACATGTTATGAGTAGTTCAATTCATGTAGTGCTTTATAAGCCAATTATTATGTCAATCTGTTTTCTCGGTTCTTTTTAAGATCTGGAGTAACCAGTATTCAAAAATGGAAGGGTATAGTTATTCTAAACAGGTAGAGATAGTCGGGTCGAGGTTTGACAGGTCTGTCATCCCAAGCTACCATGACAAAATATGTCCACAGAACACCGATCAACAACCCGTGAACTGCATCGTCCACGGGGACTTTGGTAGCCCTAAGGTTAAAAGAAGGAAACTCTGGTGTTATGACCTACAAGGTGGAGCTCAACAGGTAGAACTTACACTTGCTAGACAGATGACAGAATTGCCTCAAAAAAGAAACGAAAGAAGAGGTCCAGCTACAGAGCTGAAAAATAATCTCCACGGACTTGCACCCTGGCTGAGTCAGGGCAATCTCTAACACCCTAAACGCAATAGACAATTATCTAAGTAGAAATCTATGTTGGGTCAGTCGGGTTGAAGAAGCTCTAGGGCTTCTCTTCAGGATATGCAAATATAAATGCAGTTATCTACTACAGTCTTAAGCGTGGAGGCCCTATTATATGACTTGAGATACAACCCATTTAAAATTCGGCTCGAAAGCAATGTAGGAAAGTAAAGTGCGAATTTTAAAGTCTTTAATATTTTAGTTTAAAATTTTCATTATCTTGAATATTTTATTAGGATTTTGTAGCAAATTTTAAGTCCTAAAGAGCCTACATTACATTCAAGATTTTCAGATAAACCATAAAAAGAAACAATGAAATTCATTTCAAGCATTCAAGCATGCAATAAGACAGAAAAATAAGTCAAATCAAAATAATTAGAGACCAGTGTCGTTGGGTCGGCAATGTATCCCAAAAAAGAAAAAAGTGGTTGAACTCCGCATATATATGCTCGATCTTAATTATATTAAATGTAGAATTAAGATATGAGACATGAGCTACTGCTCATCGTCCCCTATCACGAGGTTCCCGAGCCAAAATATCTTAGATCAAGTGTCCATATCTTATTTCTACTACAAGACTCCTCATGACTCTAAAAAGTATATAGGAAAATAAAAAAAGACTAAAAAAAAAGTACTTATGTGAACACACATTGTGCATCACACTAGTTCAGTGGATAGGAAGCATGACTCGTGCTTAACACGATGTGAAATATCTACTACCCTCTAGGTGGCGTCGTAGGGAGAGTGAGATAGATGGCTCGTGAGCGAGTGAATTCCTCCCAAAGTGTGCAAGTGTCCATCCTCGTGCATACAACATCGTATGTGGGGAAGACACTTACAAGTGTAGGCACCAAAGAGACACCATAAGTGGGGGTGCTTAAAGAGACTCCAAACTTTGTTGTTCAAAGAGGCACCCAAACATGCCACATGCAAAGCATGCAAGATAAAAATATTTTACATGCAATGACATTGTAGACATCAAGTCAAAATAAGATTTTCATACACATGCAAATAAACATGCAACATGATGCAAGAAGAATACAAGCCGGACCGTAGTGGCCAGTCAAACTGAAAGGATGGGTTAATTGATCCAGGACAATCGATCAGACCTAAAAGATTGGGTGATCGGCTTCGGATGGCAGATCAGACCTAAAGCTAGTGATTGACGCGGCATAATCAATCATACCCAAAATAATCTGGCGATCATACCGGGGTGGTCGACCAAACACAAAATATAGGTCGATCGGAACAGGACAACCAATCAGACCTAAAGAGGGTGATCGTATTGGTGTGGTCGATAAAAACCTAAAATATCGGGTGATCAGCTTGAGACGATTAATTGCACCCAAAGAAGGTGATCAACACGGTGTGGTAAGTCGAATCCAAAGTGGGTGATCAACATGTGGCAGTCGATTAAACCTAAAGATTGGGCGATTGAGTCGGGTTAGGACAACTGATCAGACGTAAAGTGGGCGATCAAACAGGTGCAATCAATCAAACCCAAAAGATCGGGCAATCGAGCCGGGGCGAACGATCGAGCCGATAAAATGAGCTGATCGAGCTGGAACGATTGATCAGACCCAAAGCAGGTGATCGAATCTTGAAGATCAAGTGATCAAGTTGGAACAACCGATCAAACCTAGAAGATCATGTAATCAAATGGGGACAACAGATCGAACCCAAAGCGAGTGATCGATTAAACCCAAAATATTTGGATTGGGCGAACGAGCCGGGACATCCGATCGGACCCAAAGCAGGTGATTGTACCAGTGCAGTCGATCGAACACAGAGGAATGGGCTATCGAGCCCGAAAAATGAGTCGATTGGGTCTAGACAGTCGATTGTGCCCAAAGCGGGTAATATGACCGGTGCAGTCAATCAAACCCAAAAGATTAGGTAATCGAGCTAGGTGGTTGGTTGAGCGCAGAAAATGAGTAGATTTGGTCGGGACCGCTGATCGGACCCAAATAGAATGATCTGACAGGTGCGGTCGATCAAATCCAAGATATTGAGCGATCAGACCAGGGTTGCCAATCGAGCATGGAAAATGAGTCGACCGAGCTGGGACAGCCGATCAGACATAAAGCGGGTGATCGAACCGGTGCACTCGATCAAACCTAAAAGATTGGGTGTTCAGGACGGGGTGGTCCATCGAACTGAAGTGTTCACGCAATCACACATACGATATGCGACATGATCAACATACCACAATGCAACAAATGAACACACTTATGCAATGCAACCCAAAAAACACTCGACAATGCGTCTAACTCATCATAACGACCTCATGTGGGTGCCTAGGGTTGGAGCTCTTGCATTCTCGGCATAGCCGCCTCCGGCTTTGGCGAGGAAATGTGTAGAAATTTGTCTTCCAATTTTTCGTAGGAGAATTTCTTCACCATTCGTAGGGCGTAGTAGCTACAATGCTTTTTCCGTCCTACAAAACTTCCACGATTTTGCAGAACTAGCAGACTACAAAGCACTTCCCATTCTTCATGATCGAACGATGCAGCTTTGTAGCTTTCTCATCCTGCAAAATTGTGATGGAAAAAGCATGGAAACTTGGAAGATTTCGTTCGATGGAATGGGAAATGTTTTGTAGGTGAAATTGAGATTCTAACCCGCTTAGATGAAAATTGAGATACTGACCGTTCGTAAGAAAGCTTGGAAGCCCCAAAACCCTGAGAAAATTGAGATTCTGACCCGCTTAGGTATAGATCTAAGGCTAATAAGGGAAACTCTCGGATTCGCTAGGATCCAATAAAATTTTCCTAAACCTAGAGCTTCCTCTAAGTAATCAACGGTCGATCCAAAGGCGTGTGGCCATGCCGACTCGTGTCAATCGACCAACTTGCCTTGTGTGAGTGACCAAACCCACGACACCTAGCCA